AGGTCAGGCAAGAAAACGCAGTGGTTACTTCTCTGGGTCTTTGATAGTTCTGTCACCTTGATTTCTAGAAATTGATGAGTCTGGCAGCTCATTAATTTCTGGACACTTTAAAAGGCACTGAACATTTGTTTCAGTGCCCTGTACTTCAAAATCTGTGGTGACTTTTGAAGGTGATTACAAGGAAGATGAGTAGAGATGCTTCACACAGCAGAGTTTTTCAGCTGTTGCTTGCTTTAATAGCAAGAAGACAGTGTCTTTGTACATGAATTCTTTCCTTTTGCAATGAGAAGACAGTATAAAACTGCCAGCATCCAGTTTCTTGAATATTTGGAACTTCTATTTGGAGCTGATAAAAGTCTGTATGCCCAAGATACCCTCCCTGCTAGTAGTGCTGCAATTGAAAATAAGAGAGGTTAACATCTCAAAGCTTGCAGGGCCCTGCTTTTCATCCTGGAATTGCAGTGTGGGAGCTGTTTTGGTTTCAAATTCCCAAGGAACTCTCCATTGAGAATGGTCTGCAACTTTGTAAAGTAGCATAACTCCTCCCATTTTCTTGTAGTAACGGACGGAGAAACTTCAGAGTTACGCTATTTTCCCTTTTCCCTGAGTGGTTGTTGTTGTTTGTATGTTTGCTTTTTTCAACCATTTTGGTAAAAATTTGCTCTGAACTAATACCCATCTTGTACCCTCCATTCTGTGCAGGTAACTTCTGCAACTGCTGCCAATGGGACTTCTGAAAGCTTTAGCTCTTGCTTGGCTCCTTGGAAGCATTTTTGGTTAATGGCCACAGTAAAATTGACGCAATCTAGAGGTTACTATTGCTGGATAGTTATGTGTGCAAAGGGAGGGTGTGAAGATGTTGCTACTGGACGTCCTTTAATAAAAGGTTAGATAGCCTTTGGCTGCATAAAGGGCTGGTGTAACTAACCCTGCCCTGGGGCAAGGGAAGGAACCTGTGTGCTCACAGGATGACTCCTTGTCATTAACATGATGTTCTGTGGTTTTGCTGTGTGATGTTTGGGATCAGGCAAGGGTTTCCTGGGCTGTTGGCTCTTCTGACAGCAGAATTCAGTGTTATAGTAATGACCATTAAGGCTACATCTCTAACTTGTAAACTAAATGCTCTGAGGGCTCTTTATCAGTTTGAAGAGGGTAAAACTGTGGTGTGGAGAGAAAAGGTGTGTATGTGAGAGAGAGGGAGGGGAAGACTAAGGGTGTATGTGTGTTAGAAAAAATGACTTCACAACTGTTCTGCTTCTGTGCTTCCTGATAGATGGCACCGTGTTGCTAACTCTCTGAACTGCTTGTCATGGGGAGGGAAGAGAGCAGACTATGACAAACAACTAGTGGAAAGTAATTTTTCTTTTTGTCAGTAAAACTGAATAATAGAGCAGCATACAGAAGCATAGCAGAAGCTCCTTTTGTAAGTGGTCAGTTTCTAATGCCTATTTGTCATTTTAATTGAGTAACACTTTTTTTCAGCATTAACGAAACCCCAAAGATTCTGACTGTGTCCAGGAGAGGCACAGGGAGAGACAAACTGATTAACCTTAATCTTGTCCAGTGTGAAAGATATTATAAGTAGTCACTATGATCTCTACTCTGACTTTTTAATCTGGACTGTTGGGAGCTGAATAGCAATTCTGACTGTGCCAGAATGCTTCTGCAAATCCACATCGGGGTATGTTTTGTAAAGGTTACCTTTGAGCCCCTTCCTGCCAGACCTTTGTAAATCTCTGACCTGCACAGTATCATCTCTGAGCTACACGCAGCAGATGCCAGCATTGTCTGCTTTTGTAATTGCATAGTAAAAATGTAAGGAATGAGATTACGGGTTCCCCTGATGGTGGAGGGCATATGTTCTGTTTCCCTGAGTTTTGTAGACCAGGTTAGGTCATTGTGGCTTTGTTGAGTTTTGGACTTTTTTTTGTTTGTTTGTTTGATTTGTTTTTTATTTAGGTTTGGAAGAGGGAGGTTTGGCTTCCTGTGTGTTGATGTGTGAGTTGGTTTGGTTTTGGTTTTGGTGTTTGTTTTTTTTTTGTGTTTTTTTGTTTGCTTGTTTTTTTTTTTGTTTATGTTTTATTTGTTTTTTGTTTTTGTTTATTTTTTTTTTTAATAATGAAGACTTGAATAGCAGCATTGAAACGGCTTCCTAGGACCTACATGGTATCCTTATAAATAGTGTATCATTTCTGTTGGTACATGTCAGAGATCTGTTTCATGTACACTCATTATCACCTCTTACATTAATGTTTAAGAAGCTTTACCAGATAGGATGGAAAGAGGAAAGAAAATATGTAATGTGTTTCTTGGTCTATTTTGCTGTCTATAGGGGCAACAGGGTCTTGGTTTTCATTTCATTTCCTCTGAATGCTAAAACCCATGTCTTGGTTTGATAGAGATAGTTAAGTTACATTAGTTTAGCTCTCCAGCTGAGTGCAGGGATACTTCTTCTCATAAAATACAGGAAAACAGTTTTGTTCTTTTCTGAACTCTACCCTAGCCAAAACTAGCACAGACAGAAAAGGGAGATACAAACATTAGAAAGCCTGTGAAACAGATGGTGATTTAACTTGTAAAGTTATTACAGATAGGATGGCAGTCATTCAGACAGAAGATGTGCAAATCATAATAGCTATTCAGGTGCACATGCATGATACGAGCTGTGTTACAGAGCAGGTCAAGCAATCAGTTCTACATTCATATCCTGAGCCTCAGTCATTTTTGTTAGATCACTCTCCTGTGAGCAGCTTATTTCGTCAAGGCATGGAAATTTATTCTCAAATAAAGAACGTTTGTTTGGCAAAAGGGGCAGGAAATTCGAACTGGTTTGACCTATTTCTAGATGGCCAAGAAAAAATTACTTTTAGTCTGGTTGGGATATGGTGGTGACTTATTCTTTAAAATACAAATGTCATTTTTAACTTTAGGAAGGTAACAAAAATATTACAGGTATTTTTATGTGGAAAAGAATATCCCTTATATTTTCCCACTGTTTGTTCATGTTTATAAAGTTCTTTTCATTAGAAATATCCTAGTTCACTTTATAAGCTTTCATATATAGGTATGGACCTGCCCAATTTGTGTTTCTTTGTAGAATCCATTCATTAGCACAGAGTCATGTAGATGAGTCTTAAAGTTCTTTGAATAAAGAAAGAAAAAGAACATTTCTAAATACTGAACCAGGTATAAATTGATGTACCATCATCTCCTTGAAAGTGCAGAAAGCCTGCGACAGGAACTTTGATCTTTTGCACCATTATTATTATCTCTTTGGAGTGTCAACACTCAAACTGTGTGATGAAAATGTCAGTGGCAATGTTACCCATTTTTGCGTTGATCACTTTCACAGAGGTATTCAGCAACTGAGCTTATTTCTCAATCCCAGGTCATTTTTGAAGCACTAAATCCTTCATCCCTTTTTTCTGTGCAACTGCCAAAATTTCCTCCTACTAAAATGACATTGATCATGCACTCTTAAAACAGAACGTACTTATTTAATACAAAATGTAAAGCAGGTGTGATTATGAATTTTAATATAAAGTTCTGCCTCATTTTAAAAACAGGAAGATTAGCAGTGCTGTCTGTGATGGAAGAAAAGTAAATTGAATTTAATATCAGGGAGTGCTTTACTGACAATCTTAACAACTCACATATGGTTCAATAAAATTTGTCAGTGGCTCTGGAAGTACTTGCAATCTGGTAAAGTACCACAATAACAGAAGACTTTGACAAAAAAACTACAGAACTGGCTGCACATTTTGGAGTAGGAACTATTTTGCCAAGTTTACGGTCAGAACTGATAGGTGGGAGCACTCTAGTTCCAATCTATTTTTAAGTAGATGATGATCTGAAAAACCTTAGTAAGACTTAGGTGTGCGGGATGTTTGTGCATGCCTGTAACATGAATATATGCCTTTTCAAAAGCCAGTCTGTGTTACTGTTTGGTTAGTGCTTCTAGATTTAACATATTGCAGATATGTGGAATAACATAACGAAGAATACCTTCTTGATGTGTCTCCCGTTGAGTCACTTTTCCCATGCTATTTTGTCCTCTTATAGACTGTCTATTAAATTGTCAGCTCAGTCGCAGAGGAGCAACTTTGTGAACAGTTGTTATGGGAAGTGCCTTTGTCATTTTTCAGGGGGCTGAAAGAACTGAGCATTCAGGAGATAGGGGAGTCTTGCTTGTGCCAAGAGTGTTTGTCTTGTGACTTGCTACACCAGTCATGAGCAGCAGCTTGAAGCAGTCACCAACCAGCAAATGTTCATCAGCCTAGGAGATGCTCTCTGTCTTTTAAAAGTCATCCATCTCAGCCTGGCCACCTCAGGGACATCTAACCTTACAGGGTCTCCAGGGTTGCCTGGGACTAAGCTTGCGTGGCCAGAGCCCATGCCTGTAATATTCTGCTCCTCTTGACTTGTGATGACCACTGGTCCTTCTGGCAAGGAGAAGGGAAGCAGAGATAACCAAGTTTCTAGTGTTTTGTGTTGTTTTACGCATTACTGATTGCTCTTTCACAAGGCCAATAAGCATCCACAGCTATTTTGTAATAATTAATATATTTAGTTTGTCATGACCCTAACTGCAATAGCTAGGCTTGGTGTTGTAACAGATCCTTTCCTTTTGCCAGTATGAACCTAACAGTTATGCACTGAGATACCTTAACTACTTTGCTTTACATGGAAATAAACCCAGTAGTGCAGAAATATGAGGAAAAAAGGGTAGGGAAAGTCTTTTGGGAGACTACCCTGTGTGTCTGTTGGTAGGAAGGAAGAATTACTCTGCAAATTAAGCTGGCTGCCATTAGATTTGACACAGTGCTAGATGGTTTGCAATGCAGGTTTGCACACCTCTGCAGCGCAAGCAGAACATTTTACCCATAGAATCAATTTGCAAGAGCAGATCGCAGAGAATTGGAGAGAAATGGTACAAAGGGGAAGCCGAGGGAAGGGTGGTGCAGATAAGGAGAGAAAAGGAATCAGAATATCAAAAAGACAGAAGGAAGAAAAGGATAAAGATAAGCAGGGATAAGAGATATGCAAAGAGGAGCTGAAAAAAAGAGAAGAGGAAGGACAGGCAGACGGAGGTTGTGCTTGAATGCCTGTAGGAGTTACTGAGAAAGGACTCGTGCACAGCAGAAGCAGAGGAAGATGCACGATGGATGCATGTGCTGGGGGAGGGGGAGAGGCAGTGAATACACACAGCAGGAGGGGGAGAGAGATAGATGGCAAACATGCATATAGGAGTGGTGGGGAGGAATAGTGGATGTACACAGCAGGGAGAGAGCAAGTGAGAGAGACACAGCAGATGCACACAGCGGGGGAGAGAAATGCATAGAACAGGGAGGGGGGAGCAGCGCAGGGGAAGTATCAAGAAGCCTCAACAAAATTAAACAATAAAATAATAAGAAATCATAAAATTCATGATTTGAACATTTATCATTATTTAACACAGGAAATCAAGAGACTTTGAAGAGAATTTACATTAGTTAAAAATTTTAAGCACTTCAAATGTTAATAGTGTTTGGTTTGGAATAAGACTATGCTTGATTTAATGAATTCCTCTTTGCATTTGCAGTGAAGCAGATGTCTGCTTTCTGTGTCTGACAGGGACCCAATCCATTGCTTTTTGACATCAATAGGACTGTGGTGTTTTCAAGGGCGTCTGTTTATCTTGTCAATGTGGTCTAACCACCCTGCCTCACTTCCCCGCTCTGGTCTTGCACAGGTGAGGAAGGTGGGTGGGAAGTGTCAACACCTAAGCTTAGTGAAATCTAACAGCTATCAGATGCTTCTCAAGCCTCTTACGCATGTTTGGGCACCAATCCCCATTAATCAGTGCAGCACACAGTTGAGGGGAGGTTGCTGTGATGTGCCTCTGTGTGTCACTTGTACAGGTATCTGGCACCAGCTCAATGGCACAGACAGGGTTAGACCACCTTGATGAGGAGTATAAAGCAGCATAAATAACAGCAGTCAAACCATAAGGGGTAGGAAACAGTTTATGAAGAGTTTTTGTTTTTGTTTGGTTTTTTTTTTTAAATTGGATTAGATGATATGTATCTTCCCAGTTTCTGTGGAAAATATACAAGAAAGCTCCAACAATTTTTATGAGCATAAATAAACCCCACTGGTATGCATATGGAGGGAACACTGCTATTGGAGAGATTTTGTTATTACAACTGTTCACAAAGTTGCTCCTCTGTGACAGCTGACAATTTAATAGACAGTCTGTAAGGGAGCAAAATATCATGAGAAAAGTGACTCAGTGGGAGACACTTCTCACAAGAGACAGTGTTGGTACAGCAAAGACATGAGAAACTGAAGGTTGGAGAAACTGAAGGTTGCAGGAACTGTTTCTCAAAAAAGCAATGTTTCCTCAACAGGCGGGGGGGGGGGGGGGGGGGGGCTTCTACATGGAAGAAACAAGGTATTGTTGGAAAACTTGGCCTTTCATTACTGCTTTTCTGCATGGAATCACAGGAATGTACTTAAGATGGACAGCAGTGTGGGCTGTTAGGGAAGTCTCTTCTGAAATTCATTATACCCCCTAAAAAAATTTATTCCCATTGATGTGAGAAAGGCTCTACAGAGCACTGATTTCAGGCTTTTGAAAGGAAAGTTACCAGTATCCAAAATCATGGGACAAAGTGAGTACAGCCGATATACAGCTTTTGCAGCTTAAGTGAAAAGTACAATGACTGGATTGCTCTAAGCTGGAAACATGGTAGAACACATGCTCAAAAAGCACTAAGTGCTCTTATTCCTATCACCATTTTCCTCCCTTCTGAATTCTTACTTCTTTTAGAAGATCAGAGAGAAAAGATTTATTTTCCTCAAGTTTCATTTAATCTCTGCAATATGTTCTGTGATTGCTGCTGTCCGCCTACAGTGTAAGGGGCTTCATGAAGAGCTGTGCTCTCTGGCCAAGCAGGCTTAGCAAAAAGGAGAGAATGTGGGTGGAATATGTGGGTTTCAAGAGAGAAGACATATACGTCAAGGACTTCTGTTAAAATGGCAATACTATGGACCATCCTGAGAAAATAGGGAGTCACAGAAGATTCTCTTTGTCTCTTGTCCAGATTTGGAAGGACCTCACTGCCCATTACCTTTTGCCATAGTGAAGCCTGTGTGTGATTTGACAGGTAATATGGAAAAGTGGGGAGGCAGAGATTCCTGCCATGAGAACATAGCTTTTTGTATAAGTGGAACCAGAAATAAATACAGACAAAAGTGTTGTGACTAATGTATTCAATTAGATTTAATGCATCTGGAAGGGTAGTTCAGAGACGAGCTGGCCCTTCTACTTCTCTCTGCACTGGTACCTATTCTGGGGGTCCATTAGTGCTCTTACTGTAAGTGCCGTACGCGCTTATTGTCTATAAACATACTTTCCTCAGTCTCCTCCTATCTCACTGTCGTGAGTTTCCTCTGCTTTTTCTGAACTGAGTGGGTAGGAGGATTTTGCTTAGACACTGCTGAAGGTGGCAAGAGGTTTAGTTTGAACTGCTCTCATGGCCATCTCCATCCTCAGAGGCTCTGTTCACTGGTAACATCAGCCCAGGCTTTTCTCTTTCTGTGCCCTCCTGATATTTTGAATGCAGCAGGACATTGCTGAGTCATTTGAGTGAACAAAACAAATGCTGATGGATGGGAGTACTCTTGCACATATGTGCAACTGTATTTTTGGAATGCTGCTGTGGTCAAGGCAGAAGAATGACCCTTTGCACCACTCCCATTGGCCCTGTGCAGAGCTGCCTGAAACTGATGGGGGGATGTGTCCTCAAGCTTTTCAATTCTAAAAATAGTTAAGATACTCATATTGTCCCTTTCCATGTTGCTGTAATAAGTTTTGTCTCCCTTCTTAGATGCTTTAAATTCCTGCATGATGTTCAAAAGGAAAAATCCTTAGTCCAGGTGTTTGAATAGTACTTGGAAAAAATCTTCCTTGGCATTTCAATAATTCTGTTTTGCAACCAGTGTTGGCCTGGGAAAGCAGGGATTATCACGGGCAATTCAAGTGTGACAAGATGAACTGAATCTTATTATCAGAAAAAAACCCTAAACCTAAATTACAAGGGAATCAATAAATGTTGGTGATTTAAAAATCCAGTAGATGCAGCTTCAGAGGTCTGGTTGTAAAAGCAAAAGCTGAGCTGAGAGTTTCAGATGGGTAAGAAGTGCTAACTGTGTAAGGCAAACATTGCTGCTAAACAGAACCAGTGTATGACCGTTGTGGTGCCAGGAGCACCATTTGGTTTGGGTACCATGATTGATCTGTAATTCTCTGATGAAATCTTTGCTTTTCATTGTGTTGTTTTAATTTTTTTCTTAAGATATGCTTATATGTTAATAGCACAACCAGGTGTATTGTGAAATACATTCTACTGGGTATGTAAGTTACACCTCATTAAAAAAGCATCTTGCTTATGAAGTGGCTGCTATGAAGATTTAATTCTGGAGGGACAAACTTTAGAAATACCTATAAAATAGTAAAACCTTTCTGGGTTTTATCAGCCACTCTATTGAAATTAATTTTATAGAATATCAAATTAGGTGCTGTTTGTTTAACTACTTGAACTATAGGGGTTACATGCCAGATAAAGAAAAGTGTTTTGAATATAAAATAGTTCAAAATTAAGTCATTTTAAAATGAGAATGAATAGTGTGAGAAAAGCTCAGTCTCCTTCAGCTCTGATTAGTGGCTGTGTGATACTTAAAGGGAAAGACTTGAATATTAATATGGTTGATGTGTCCTATCTTAAATCTATTCTATAAAAATTAGAGCATAAATCACATCTGATTCTTTCATTTCATCACATATTCTGTTTCATTGTGGGGCTTTTCTTGTCATTTTTTGGTTTTGTTTTGAGGGTTGTGTGTTTTAGTGTGGGTTTTTTTTTTCTTTTTTTTTTTTAACTTCAGCGTTAGCAGTGTTGTGATTTAAACTATACTTCATATTCAGAACAAAATTAGAGGACCTTATCTGGATGTTGATTGCAATTTTGCTGATTTTTGTTCAGGACCATGAAGTCTGCAGACACTATAGCCTCCTTTTCCTATCAACAAGCAGAAGTAATACTGAATTCTCAATGAAAGACTGGAGGGAAGAGACAGAGTGGAAGAGAACAGAAAGTAAAATGGCAGGTAGGTGAAGAGAACAGTGAAATGCAGCTGAATTTCTGTGCATTTATGCAGCACAAACTGGGACTTACGCAGCAACGTGACAAAAATGTCAATTATGACCATATCACTGCAATGTAACTAAAAGGAAAGGCCTGTTTGGCTCCTATGTTTGTTGATATATAAGCTGAATTTAGGTAATGTTATAATTGCAAATATATTACAATGACAAAAAAAAAAAAATCTGTGTATGCTTTCAGACCTATCTCACTGTCCACATCTCACTTGACAATTGAAAGCAGTTAGAACATACCATGCAATTTTTAGAGTTTTATAATATTAAATTCTTAGTAGGTTTTTTGGGTGTATATTCATATCAGTTAATGATGAAATATGCATAAAATATATCTTAGTGACCTTATTTTAAAATATTGCTTTGGATCTGTTCATTTTTTTCTCTCCCAGCCCCCTCCCCCCATATTAATATTGATTACAAGTTCTGGGACTTTTTCTCTATTCTGTTTTATTTTCTTCTCTATATATTCATTGTATTAAATCAGTAAGAACCATCCTTTTTGACATCTTTGTGTCTAGAGGCTTGGCATAAGAGGGCATGATGGCAGAATTCTTTCTTGCTTGCCCCCACCAACTCCTCTCTATCACTCCTCCCTCCCCCCCCCCCCCCAGCTTATTTTAGAAAATTATTACAATGTTGACTTCCTGAAATACACTAAACATGTTAAAAAAAAAAAAAATTAAGCTCTAAGAATTGCATGGTGTCTAGGTGATCCTCATTGTACTGCAGTATGATGATAGCGATTGACTGTAGTTAATATTCCTCATTTTATTACTTACACTATTAACGTATCAGATTCAGTTCTGATAAACTCAACTTTCCTTGTTTCCTAAATGTATTTCACTTTCTTAAATTAATTGAAAATAAATATGACAGTTACAGATGAGATAAAATCTGACACTGGCATTCTTGAATAACCACATTATAGTCTTCCAGAAGCCTTAGTTCATGATTATGTTGAACACCATGTTGACCACATTTCTAACTTCTCAGAGACAACATTCAAGTTAGAAATTTTGGGGAGCATTATGTAATAGGTTTTCTGAACAACTCTTTCTTTAAATTTTCTCCACACAGAAATCCATTTAAAATTGTAACCTTCCTTCTACAAATTGAGTCATATGAAACTGTAGTTGATCATAATATTGCTTCATTATTGATAAATTTATTTTCTCTGAGGAGACAAAATATGTTGTTTTTTTTTTTTGCAGGTGAAGTATATTCATCTGCTAGAAGCTGCAAAATGGGTCAGCCCAACTGGAAAGAAGTAATGTACTGCTTTGTATCTTAAATTCATTTTAATTATTAGGTTAAAAAAATGAAGTAACAGACATCGACCTTGAGCATACAGTGGCCAGTTAAAACCTATTGAAGAAACAACCCCCCGCTCCCCAAAACCTTGTAATATAATCCAATTAATCAGTGAAGAAAATCCCGACCATGCAAATTGCTTCATTCCCCCTTGGAAAGTCAAGGGCCTTGCTGTGTGACGTATTTCATAATCCATCAAGCCACTGCTTTGTCTTCAGTGTCCTGCTTTGGCTGTACTATGTTATTAATAGGAAAATAAAAGAAATATTTTATTGAATTACAATAATCTGTTGAAAGAAATTCTTCCTACCTGGCTAATGGATACCTACTTGGGTCCTCTCTTGAAAGATACTCTTGATAATCTGGGCCAAAAAGAACAGTCCCACTGAAGTTCATGGCTCCTATGATATCCTGTGACATTCAGCTCTTTAAACTAGATTTGTGTAATAAAAGTAAGTGTTTCTTTTCAGGAGGCTAAAAATTCATTACTACATTAAAAAAAAAAAAAGCTTTTTGTGTGTGTGGTGAGAAAAAATAGCCACTCGGAATTACTCTTTACTGTGTCTGTTTGTTGATTTATTTACATTATTTTTACATAAGGAAACCCTAACTTAAGAGGCTCCTTATGAGCTGTGAGGTCTTGGGTAGAAAGAGGTAAAGCTGTAATGTCCTGTGTTCTGTGCAGTTTGCTTTTTGCCATTCTATATGCCTTCTGGTCAGGGCAGGTCAGTTTTCTAATTGTAGGGTGAGAAGTCATGAATGCAGCATAAGACATAAGGAGTGGGAATAAAGAAGTCAAAACCTGTTAGTATGCCTTTCTAAATCAGTGATTTCAAATTGGATTTGAAATGCTCAGTACATTATTGTATCAACTGGTCTCACACAAAAGTGTCGGAGAGAATACAGAAAAATCTGAGCATGAAAACATTTATAGAAGGATAAATCAAAAAAGGCTGAAATTTCTTGTCTTCAAGAAAATGATTTTGATAGTTTTTGTAAGCCTTTTATTTCATAATAACAAAATACTTAATAAAACAGTAAGGTCATAAATAGAAAATACTTGAAAAAGTTCTTCCAGAGGGCTGCTGTGGTGTAGTATTGAAAAGAAATCAAATGAATAAAATGTGATGTAGTGGGGGATAGTTAACAGCTTTTCAACTTTTGAAGAGGGATACATAGTTCTAATTTACTCTGAATTTCAGACTATTTTTTTGTCAAGTTCTTTATCAAATGGTCTTAAGAAAAAAGCAGAAAGTGTACCTAGATGACTTTATATACAAGGCTGAACAGAATGAAACTTTAAAGCATAGAAGAAGTACATATGTGGGAAGTGTTGTGGTAGAGGTGAATGCAAAGATGATTGCTGCAGAGGGGATAAGCAGGGACTAGCTCTTCATCATCTTCCAAAGAACCAGGGGAATCCAGTGTAATTATGAGCCAGTAGGCTTAGATGGGGGAAGGAGAAGGGAGGAAACTTAAGTATTTTTGTTTTTTCCCCTCAACTACAGAATTTAACTTGTGAAAGGCATCTCTACCAATTTCAGAAGGTCAAAAGTGCAAACTTATTTGAGACTCGAAAATCAACAACTGGCTAATGAGTAGCTATCAGTGACAACGGTGTGGACATGGACGCAACCTGTGACTTGGGAGATATTATCATCATGTATTAACGGTCGGTATTTTGCACATTCTTCGATGCTAGCAGCTATTGAGATGGGCTACATATTAGATGCACTAATGTTCTGATCTGTGGTTGCATTTTCTCAATTTCTGATTTGTATATGGCTGTATCTACAGAAATCCTTACTTCAATCTGCTTTGCAGAGCTTAAGAAAAATCAAAATATCACTTGCTGTATCCCCAACAAGATATTCTGCATAAACTATAGGTTGATGTGTGGTTCATTGATACCTGTTTTCTACTTGATAAAGGTGCATTGCAACACCAAGACCAAAAGTTGGGTGGGTATAATAATATTAACAATCGTTCTTGCTCTGAAAAATACTTTAGGGTGATGAGGAGGAATGTTTTGAAAAGTTAGCTTTCTGTATCTTAAAGGGCACTTACATTAAAGTTTCTAGTGGTGATTACACTCCCATTACATTCTGCCTGACTAGTGTTGATTGCATTATTAAGTGATGATTGAACTTCTGGAATTGTTATAATGTATGTACTGTTGGTGCATGACGTGGTGGAAAGCAGTGTCCTTCTACCTCCCAGGTCAGGACTGAGCAAATAAATGCACTGTGCAGTTTTGAGTAAATACTTGCATTCTGTTCATGAATCTATGTCTCTGCAATTTATTTAAAGATAAACACCTCTGGTTGCTTCCAACACTTTGCCTCTTCTCTTCAAAATTATTTGGCAAAAGAATGCTTTCTCTTCTCTGGCAAGTGGTGCTCACCAACCTATACAGCCTGTCATTTTCTGAGAGCCCAGCTAGGATGGAAGCCTGTCATTTAGGGGCCTCCTGGACATTTGGGCTACAAATGAAAGAAAGGTCCAGTTTATTCGCATTGTATTTTATTTTAAACTAACAATTTGTTGCCTCATTTAAATAAAATACTTATTAAATTATTTTAAAAGGTATTTATTTAAATGTAAAATGTAAAAATGTTACTAAGGCAGTTCATACATAGATTCAAGTACAACAGTCTGAAAAAGTACATGTTATAAAGCGAAAGTATTATCTAGTGTAGAAACAGTAAATAAAAAATAATTCTTTGCATATGGATCTGACCCTTCAGTAAAATATACCCTATTGTAAAATGTTGTTGAATTTATACTTTTGAAGAATCTAAAAGCTTAAGGAGTCACCTTTTGGGTACACATAGCAAATAATACAGTTGTCTGCCACATATTACTTCAGTTTGGCAGCAAAGCCAAAGATTATGGGCTTGTCTACTTGTATCAGCAGAAACTAAAGCTAACAGTGAATTTTAAGCCCATTCTTGTATTTCATTGGCTTCTGAACTGAAAGTGAAACATATGCCTGTGTGGTTTGCTGAGTAGTGGTGAACCCAAGGATGCTTGAATGCTTTTGTGCCTTTAGGCCTAAATTGAGAAGTGTATCTGGAATGTAGGATGTTTCAAGCAGAGTCAAATATGTTGCTGGTTTGACAGATCTGAAATTCAACTTGTTTTTAGCATAGCAGTGTGGTTTTGTTGGGGCGGTCTACTTTGACTTGTAGAGTTTTATGCTTGCGTAAAGACTCTCTTTTATGCTTCTCCTTTTAAAAAGAAAAGCAAACAGATTTAAAGAAAACCCACACCCCAAAACTGAAAAAAGAAAGGACAGCTCTTGCATAACTCTTAATGGAAGCACTGTGCTTTGTTCCAAGGTTTAAAAGGAAAATTGAAACAAAAGGAAGACCAGTTAATAGAATGTAGGATGTTTAGGTAAGATGAAGTCAATTTTCATCTATGATGAAAATACGCACTGTCTAGCAAGCATAGTCTGAAGAAGACATAATAACTAATAACTTATCTGCACCTGGGTTATTAGGATAAATCTGCAGATAGATACGTGTATAATGGAAGCTTCAAAAGCTGCAAACATGATGTGATAAATGATTCAAAGTACAACACATTAGCTTAGATTTTAATGTTTCTAGAATGAATGAAACAATACATCTATATGCCACAGCCATATTATCATAAACGTATTTGCCAAAATATAAGACGTAAATTGTACGTAAATTTAGTAACTTGTGATGGTATGCTTGGATGCATCTTTGTGATTAAATGTGAGCAATTGGTCCTTTAAGGTAAAGGTCTTTGTATGTCTGATTAATCAGATTGAAATGACAGGGCGGACAGCTCATGCCATGCCTAGTTATCAGAATGATTGATTTTAGTCGATGCTGCTGGATGAAAAAATATCTGTTAATAACTACAGCTGCAAAACTCCTGATGTCACTGATAGCACAAATCACTTCTCACGTTCTGTATTATCTGGCTCATTTGCAGATACAGAGCATACAAACTGATCCATTGGAATGAAAAATTATAACATACAGATTTATGCAAGAAGGATGACTGCAAAGTGCGTTGCGTGAGTAGTGTAAGAAGCTGAAAATTGCTGCTGTTGTAGCTGTCATAGACACGTTATTCTTTGGTATGTGTGGAGTTTTTGCTGTCAGGCTTTTATCCTGTAGATTGTTTGTGCTGTACCTCTCTTCCTGCTTAAAATAGAAAATCAGTCACTGAACCTGGATGCTATTAAGTATTCTTAGAATAGTTCTTAACTAACTAACTTGGTTGATTTGCTCTTTCTGATGAGAGAACATTTAGTTGTTTACTACAGGCTCTGGACAAACATGTTGTTCCGAAATCAACAAATGAGATTATAAATTGCATTGCATCAACAGAATTGTTTACTGTAGGTATATTCCTTGCCATATAATATTTATCTGTTTAGGTGGTATATCTTTATTTTGAGAGATCTGGAGCTTATCTTCATCAAACATTGTGTCTTATCTGCATTTTGCAGTTATTAACAGGGAATGTGGGTGTCTTATGGACCTCAGAGGAGGAGGGGGACAACAGATAATCTTACGTGTCTGGTAGGATTTGCTTTTCTTGCATTCTGTCTGTTTACTACTGTGTGTAAGAGTCTGCCCTTCCCATTTGTATGGCTTCCTTTTCTCCCCCTTCCCATTTGTTCAAGGTGCTTAGCACCCAAAGGTAGAATAAGCCATTTTTTTATTATTATTAATTTTTTTCCTAGCCTCTCATATCCATAAATGGCAGAATAAACACAGGTCTGAGAGAAGTGCAAATCCTTTTACATCAGTGTTAACTGGTTCTTCCCCTTCCCCACTAATTCACCCTTTGTTGTTCTAAATCCAGCCTCTTACCCAGCCTTTCTCTACTAGCCTTTTATCTGCCATTCCCCACTGGCCTAAACCAACATATTTCATATACCTCCAAACACAAAAATGCAGGTTCTTATAGTCCCCTGCCACTGCAGAATTCACAAATGCATCCATTTTCAGGAAGCACATACAGTGGTGATCTGAAATGCTGGGGTTCTTGCTTTCTTGGAATGATAAAATTGCCCTTTCCTCTTTCAAGCTTCTCCCTTCTGCTTTGTAGGCAAGTTCTTCAACTCAAAAATGTTTATCTAAAGAACCCCAGACTTGTTGAATACATATGTTAGTTCTTCATGCTGCTGTTTAGTTATGGCTGGTATTCTGCAGAAGACCCTAGTGTGGTCACACTGTGGTCACATAAGTCTCAACATCTTATGGATATAAATGATAAGGAAAAAAACATTAACTTACAAGAAAGCAGAAATGATTCTTGCTTAGTAGGATATTAAAGCATTACTGTCATTATTATTTGTTCTTATTTCTCCAGAGGACCTCGGACTTGATTATGATTCCATTATGGTAAGCACCTCTATCAATCACAGGGAGATCAAGTCGTTGCCTAAAGATGTGCATATAAAGATACCCCATACAGCAGCATGCCCTGAAGGAGCTTAATGGTAATTTCATAGGTGCCAAATATATTGAGTTCAGGTAGACTGGTATGTTTCTGAAGTCTGATGTATTTCAAGATTAAAACTTCTATTTACTTATTTTAATTATTCCTGTTATTCTTCCAGGAATAGCTGTGATGTAGAAACGAGAGACTTGCCTGTCTTTCAGAGCTGCAACCTTCTGAACTTCAGATATTGCCCTTCTATATGTTGAGAAGGGATGTGTGAGAATTCTGTGTTAGATGCCTTCATACAAGAAACGGAAAACTGGGGATGAATCCTTGCCACTACTTTACTTTACTTAGGAATTTACAGATGAATCATCCCTTAATCTAAAAGTAATGACATAGTTAGATAATAAACTTTTGCTATTCAGAATGGACCCAGTTACCCTCTAAACGGCTAATTAGTTTGAAATGCTGCTGGCCACAGATACCTACAATTTACATTCCCTTGCTTTCCTTTCTTACAAATAATGAACATTTCACTAAACTTCAAACACGCTTTTGTCTTCTGTTCAAGCAAAAGAAAAAGAGCTGAATTTAAGCATGCTCGTGTGTGAGGGGTGCTCCTGAGTTCAGCGTTTGATTTGTTTGCAGTGAGAACTAAGAAGATATGTTTAAAATACTGCTGGTTGTACTTATGTGTGAGAAGAATCCCAGCCATGAAAGAATCTAAAGGAGGAGGAGACAGGAGTTTTTTGCTTCACTCTTTTACTAACATCAGTAAGCTATTGATTTGGCCATAAGATTGAGTGAAGATGCACCACCTAAGGAATTTTAGATAGAAGGTCACAGTTTAACACTCAGTGCAGGGCATACTTATGCATCTGTTCCATTTCACAGGGCATCCGCTCCATTTCCAGGCAGAGCTGCAGGACTCTTCATGTATAAATAAATAACCTGGTGTAAGACAGATTATGTTCCTCGGATATCAATCACTGGTAAATATTGTGTTTCTACTCATGAAGTAAGAATAGTAAATGGAAACTCATGAAGATTTCAGGTTGCCATTATATTTACAGTCCTGGGCTCACTGCTGAGAATTATTGGATGTCTTTGCCTCTGAATATGGGCTGAAAGCTTCAGTGGGATACTCATTCCTTGCTTGCCTCTCAGACTTTCAAATCAACATTAATCTTGGTTCTTATAACCCTACTTCTGAATCACTGTAAATAATGCAAAAAGCTACCAGATCTTTGCCAGTTAGGCTCAAGTAAAAAACAAACCCCCAAACACAACCTTTCCTGATTCTTTATCTGGCAAATGGTTTGGGCCAAAGTGAGTATTGTGTGAGTATTGTGAGTATTGTGTGATTACAGGGACTGATTGCACTGGGGGAAAAAGGGAGAAAATATGACAAGAAAAGCTTTGGAGTGCCTTCTAGTAGATGCATGATGGAAGGACAATCGTTTCATTCCCCTTCCTTCTAGCTGGCCATTACCTCTTTTTCTGTCAGCAGTCAGACATCCCCTATTTTCAGCCGCAAGTAACACATCTCTGTATGTGCTGATGTCAAGAGACAAGGTTGGTTCAACCCGGGAATATTGCCATCTTTCTGTGGCAGTGACTCCAGTTTCTTCACAGTCTGTGTGCTTCCCTCACCAGCCCCTCTTCTCCACTGACTGAAACAGAGGTGAGAGATTGTTTACAACATTCAGGAACTCTGTATTGGAGACTGTTGGTATTTTGAAAGAAACCACAGTTGGGTGTTCTGAGCCTAAACTCTGATATTTTCCAATATAGATACAGCTGCTGTTTCATTGCTTATGAATTTTGGCATATTAAAAAAAAATTCCAGTCATGTTTCAATCTTTTTTCTTATTATATTCCATTCTGTTTATTTTTAGAGGAGAAAAATATAGTCAGAATATATACATTCTTTGTTTTTCCTTGTTCAGTATATCAACAGCTTAGACTGTCATCGTTTTTAATAAACGGTCAGAATAAGAAGGAACTCAAAGCTTGCTAAGTGCTTGTTTTTTTTTAATCATTGTGGTAATAGGGATGCATTTAGGTAGATAGGTGTGGATATTTGTTAACCTTTTCCTTCTTGACATAACTGCTCTTATTTTAGGGTTAGATCTTTTTGTTCTGTAGCATCCTCATTTAATAATGAAAAGACGCTCACAAACAAAAGTAGCCCAGCCATGGAATGGTATCAGCAGAGCCAAAACCATCTCAGCCAAAATGGCAGCCAAGGGGTATGCAGCACTTCATTAATCTGGTTTGGTCCAGGTACCCTGGAAGTAGGCCTAAGGAAAATCATTGCAACTTGGCATAGCTAGCTTTATCCTTCATGAGCTTTAATGTGGAACAGATGTATGTTAAGCGATGATTATTTTCGACTTGAGTACAAGGAGTATGATATTTTTTAAGTCCTCCTTTTAATTCCATTTTGACTTACAGCCACCAAAAATTTGATTTCAGTTTGTCTCTTCCTGACAAGAATTTGTGTTTTCTGCAGTAATGTTCTACTCCATACAGCATCACAGTTAGCACACCACAGGCTTCATGATGGTAGGCCTCCTGAATATTCTGACAAGATTGCTTCAGGTGACACTATTAGTTCCTATTACAGAGTAAATTTCCAGATAAGGAGAGATTTGTCTTACCACAAAAATATACAGCATTTTCAAATGTAGAAATTGGAAGCTTATTTTTGCTACTTGTATGAAACAGTCACCTAGGAGAAAGCCATTTATAAACTGGGAGAGGGAGGTAGAGACTTTTTAGAGGTATTTTCAGCCAATTTTGATTCTCTTTAATTATCTTAGGTATTCTCAAGCATTTTTTTTCCAGTGGATTCATATTTCAGCCAGTATTTCTGACAATCTATTTTATGCTTCATTGACCACTAGGTTTGAAATTCTAGCCCATATTGGCACAGTAGTGCCAAGTTTGTAGTGATAAATGGATAACTTTTTTATTTTAAATAGGTATCTGTTATTTAATTTGTGGTCTCTAATTTTTTTTTTTTTTTCAGTTCATTAGTTCTGCTATTTTTCTGTCTAGGAAAAAGTGATCAAAAGAGACAGAGGGATCAAGGTGGAATATTGCTTTAGACTTGTTCATACAAAATAAAATCAGAAGAAATGGATTGTCCAAGGAAGTGTAAATGTAATCATATCATGTGCTCATTTTTCTCTAACAATGAATTTGCTGAATTTATTTATTTATTTTTTTACTGAGAAATGAAAGATCATATTTTTCATGCTGATAGTTTTTTCTCTACCAAGATTGCTACTCTTCAGAACCTATTTAAAATGTGCAACCCGTAATTCATAATTGGGTAGTATGCTTGCTAATGCCATTTTCATAAATTTCTTGAATTTCAACAGAATGTTAGTTTTGCTAAATTATAACCTCCTCTACTAAAAGCGGTAACACCTCCTATCATTGTTTAAATGTGCTGTACTATGCAATTATAAAGAGGAGGAAGCTGAAGAGGAGATTAAACACTGAGGAAATGCTTCTATTTTAGTATATTCTCTGTTGTTCTTTATCCATTTTACAGTAAACCGCATTTCCTCATAAACAGGCCTTGAATCTAAAGAGTTAGTCAGACTTCTACAGAAGTTTACTTTTTATATTGCTCGTGTAAGGTTTTCCTGTTCTTGGTTTTTAAAATCTTACAGAACCTTTTTTTTTTTTTTTTCATTTTCCTCACCCTAAACCTCTCCTCATATCCTCATTTCAAAACTGAAATATTTGAATAAATTCTAACAAACAAGCAAACAATCTTCTTACACTTTCCTGCAAAAAAAAAAAGTCTTTCAGGCAGCAACTGAGTAACGTCAATTCACTGTGTAAAATCTGTCTGGCTGATCAGTAGATACTTCAGGTGTATACTAAATCTTAGATAAGGAAATCTCTATAGTCTATGCATACAAAGTGATGTCACTTCCTTGAATAGGAGTTTGAAGTCTTCCAAGGACAATTTTTAAAGAAAAAAAAAATTAAAAAATGATGAGAAACTTGTTAGCTGACTGTCTTGTCATGTGGCTGCTTTAGCTACTACAGCCTGGATTTTTAAAATCTTCATATTACTGTAATTATATTTTATACCTAAATTATGATTCATATTATTATCTTTCTTCAGATTTTTTTGAAATATTCTTATGTTTTCCTATGCTGTAATAGCTGTGAGAGACTGCCTTCTATATAGGCTGCAATTAAATAAAGAGGACAGAATGAGATTACAGTATGTCAAGAGGGCAAAGAAGGGAATTGCCTACCTGAGGCCAATGAATAGCTTGAGAACGCCGAACAGTATTATGTTATATCTAAAGGCAATGCAGAAAATTAGCCAATCCTTAAAGTAGCAATAAAGTGCTTTCTTCTGAAACTGATAAGTGACATTTTGAAGGCATAATGTGATGAGGAATAGGATTAATTTTGCTTTCTCTTATTTACTTGGGTCTGTGACTTGTATGCACTTGTGTGTCACGTTTCCCTGTGTATATTTTGTGTTGTAAACTATTCAAGTTTTTGTGTGTATCAAGCCTACTTGTGTTTATTTTCACAAGGAAAAGCCATTTGGCTTGTGTCTTATTTTCAATTTTTCCAGGAGCCCATGGTAGTGAGTCACAGAATCATAGAATATCCTGAGTTGGAAGGGACTCAAGGATCATAGAGTCCAACTCCTCACACCTAAAACCTAAAAGTTAAAGTTTAACCATATATACATATTTAGATATAAAATATACTCTTTTATACATAAGAATATTTTAAATATAAGAATATTGTCCAAACACTTCTTGAACACTGATAGACCGGGGGCCATGACCACTTTCCTGGGGAGGTTGTTCAAGTGCTTGACCACCCTTTTAGTAAATAACATTTTCCTAATCAATCATAGAATCCCAGTTTGGAAGGGACCTCAAGGATCATGGTAGAAGCATGATCTAGATAAGATGTCACAGCATACTGTCCAGCTGAATCTTAGAAGTGTTAAGTACTGAGAATCCACCACTTACCAGGGGAGATTATTTCAGTGGGTGATTGTTCTTATTGTGAAAAACTTTCCTCTTGTGTCCAGTCTGAATCTCTCCGAGACTAAGTTAACCCCTTGTCTTTTCTGTGTGACTCCTTGAAAAAAAGTGCTCTTATTTTTTGGTTATATTTAAGATTCTTTTCACAGTGGTTTAAAAAATCTGATTGTTTCTAGAAATGCTAAACTGTTACATATTGTAGTACAAACACATCTTTTGGTTAAGGAAAGATGAAATGTTTCAACTGGCACGTATTTATGCGCATATGTGCTTGTGCATACAATATGTATATATACACATATTCATGTGTGCATGTATACAATATATGTATGCATTTAATATATAGCATGTATATATACATTCATATATGTAAAATGCAGCTTTATGCATATAATACTTACATAATGAATAAATTGTAATACTGTCATAATGACCTGTGATAATAAAAATATGCAAAAATTTGATTGAAGATTCCAGAATGCCCAGGTGAATTTTTGTCTGTAAAATTCTGGTGGGAAAGCTACCATTTTACTATTTTCTTTATTGTTACAATTTCAGTAAGGCAGTTTTCCATTAAAAGGAAAAGTAAGTGAAAAATAAAAGTAATTTAACACAAAACCTTCTCTTCAGGATTTTTTGATAGGGTTTACTGTTGGATTTCAGCAAGCCTGTGCATTTTAGGAGATGTTGGTTTGTATTGCAAGGTGGGCTCATTGTGCTTTCTAATGTAAGCTCTTGAAATCATAAAATACTTCTAATACTGTTTAGATTTATCATTATCCCACTCCTACTTTTGACTGAATTTGGCCAACAAATTAAAAATCCACTACACCTAGATAAAAAGTGTGATCTCAATAAGCCTAATTTCTTCAGAAATCAGGCCAAAGCAGTGTTAAAAGAAGACAAAAAGATAAAGTGCTCATAAATAAGGAAATGCAGAAATGTATTTAGTAATCAAATCTGGTTTTTAAAGAGAACTAAGGATTTTTCTTGGGCTGGGAGCAGGGATTGATTACTGGCTGATCTCATCTATAATTTGTCAGTCTTAATTTATTTTGATACCTGTGATTTTGTAACATAAGCAATGACACTTTGAAACAAAATTCTCCTCCTCTTTCTCTTTTTCTCGCAGATTTTGTTTAAAGTGTGTTGAAAGAAAGGAGTTGGAAGGAAGGGAGATTGGCCAAATTTGTATCTGTTGTAAGAAAAGTCAGATTTGGGAGAGGAAGGGCAAGAAAGAACTTCCAATGTTTTAGCATGCACTAGAATATTAATAGACAATTATCACAATTAAATAACCTGGTTTCTGAGTAATGTGCTAGTTTTCAAAACCAAAGTATTCCTTGTTGTTTCTTACTTGAGAGATATAAACCAAATTACTAAAACAGAGAAATGCCAAAGCACATCTTTTATTTATCATGCCATATCCATCCATTTCTCTTTTCTCTATTGAAAATGTAGTCTGGTTTGAGATTTTAAATTGTTAATTTTGTACTCTTTTTATTTGAATGTTCTTTATTTTCATGTGCAGTCAAAGAAGCAGGAGTATAAGCTTCCATGCTGTGCGTATAAATAACTCCTCTAGCAACTGGCAAGAATTAAAACATGACATTAGCTGCAATAGCTGCATTAGCTGGAATGGTTTACCCATGATACATTAGCTAATAAACTTGTATCTATTTAAGAAAGGCCTAATTATGATACTTTTGTTACATAGACTAAACCACATTGTTTGTTACAAGAATGCCTACATAAAAAATGAATAGAACATAATTTTTTATCATTTCATTCAAATGAGATGACTTAAAGGTAATTTCTACATTTTAGACATTTAGTTTCATGGCATTCCCTAGCAATTCCCTGACTATAATTGCTTGAATGTTTGCCATTATTAAGATTAGATCAGTTATAAATATTTTATTAGGAGAAAAGATATTCTTTCAGGTGCTTTTCAGTGTCTTTATGCCTGTAATTCTGTGCATCTGCATACAAATAAAAATGATGCTCAATTAGCATATTGCTCTCCTACCGCATCCTTCTGTTTTGGGTGAGTCAGTCTTCAAACACCCTGAAGATTGTTTCAATTTTGCTTCCAAAGTCAGCTAGGTAAATTTTAGAAGGACTCCCTTCCGTCTCCCTGCCACTGCCATCTCAGCAGCCTTTGAAGCCAACTTATGGCTGTTCTTAGGCATCTGAAGGTCTGTCCTCTACCATTTGTAATATGGTTTGTGTCTGGCAATGGGAGGGACAGGTCCTGCAACCCCTTTGTTTTATCAGGCAGCGACCTGGAGACCACTTTGATATACGTGCTGTGTTGGTTTCTTTTGTAATGAAAACCTGGAGTGTTATGATGTCAAAATGATACTGTGGAATTTTGAGGGGCTGTGAGTTGGAGATGCTTTTGCTCAGCACCCTGAATCACCTTTAGAACTGTATCACTGTTGATAGCTTTGGTTTTCCTTCCTAAGGAGGACAAGGTTTGTACCATCTTAGTCCCATAGGAGAAAGGCAGATGAGTCTGCCTAGATCAAGCAAGTGAAGGGGAAAGCAGACAGAAAAAACCCAACCCAATTTAATTTTTTACAGACTGGTATGGCAGGATTGCTACAAACAAAAGTATTGTAATTTTTAGACACAGTTTAAGTTAGTTTAAGAAAAAGAAAATTGAACCTCCTGAAGAAATGAGACATATTCTGTGTGGGTTTTTTCCCCCTTCATCTTCTTTGCCTTGTGTATCACCTGCTGCTGACGCATTAGACCCACATATGTGACTACTGCTATCATTTTTATGACTGGAGCAGAAGTTCCCAAAGTTTCCTTTTCAGGGGCCCATGACATGTATCTGGGCTGTGATTCACCTGCGGTTTGACTACCCAGTAGGTTAGTGACCCCATTTGTAAGTACACTCTGTCTTTCAGCACACGGACCTGAACTGAGGAACTGCTGATGTGGACCATGCACAGGAGATGGACATGAGTAGCAGCAGCCTGGTGTGAAGGTTCCTGGAGAATGGTTGCAGTTTTACAAAGAAATAGCACACCTCAAAAGTTATGCTTGGTGAGATTACTCTGCTGCGTGCTTTAGGGCTATTCTTCACTGTAGAAGTTTAATAAGCTCGAAGAAAGCATGATGTCTGCTCTGTAGCCTGCCTGCTCCATTTATTCTCTTGCTCCATATATTCTCTGTGTATAGGTTCTGTTGTGATCATACATTAAGCAAATTTCTTTCAATGACTTAAAACAGAAATAACACTAGTAGCTAAAGAGAGGAGAATAGTATTTAACAGAACCATTTAAAACTGTTTAACAAAATGGAAATAAACATTTTTTTTTAGAATACTGTTAGGTCTATCCTCTGTTTTCCACAAAGTTTTGTGAATCTATATATTCTTTCAAGTCTGTTTTTGTTGACAGGCAATATTGTTCTTCATTTGGAAGTTCGATTTGCTTTCTGTGAGAGTTTTTGATATATAGTGGAAATGCAGCTATAACTTAAGCTTGAAAAATCCCACCCTCTAAGCGCATGTAGGTGAAGATGCTGTAAATCATGGGGATATTCCTTTATATAAAGCTCTTTTCTTGCTTTGGAGAGAACCCATGCTGGTGGAAAAAGGAAAAACAAACAAACATGAGAAGCTTTTTATTAGGTTGGATCGCTGAAACCTGCCTTGGAATTTGCAATTTTTCAATGACCACAAAACTTAGGCATAGAG